CTTCTTCAGCTTTCCTTCGGGAGGCAAGATGTTAGGATTGAGATGGGAATGCATGGCTATTGGAAATATAGGACAGGTCCAGTTGGCAGTTGTCTGTATAACTTGTTTCATGGTTAACAGAAGGGGATTCTATGTTGGCTTGGGTCTGACACACTGAAAACTCTCTGCAAGAGAGGAATTTGCTTTTAGCCCTAGGGTGACCTGAGCTCAGTCTCAGAGGTCGAGACGGCCATGCTTCCGTTCATTTCTGTGATGGATGCTGTTCAGTGGGAGTTGATGTGTCAGAGATACTGCTCTGGGTGCCTGCTGGCTGCCAGGTGGGGGTGTAAGTGCTTGGTGTCCTGCCTGCCACACAGCTAGCTAGCCCTTGCTGAGAGTTCACGGTTACTTTCACTATCCTTCCCATAATTTTTTTTTTTTTTTTTTTTTTCTGTACATGGGCCTCTCACTGTTGTGGCCTCTCCCGTTGCGGAGCACAGGCTCCAGACACACAGGCTCAGCGGCCATGGCTCACAGGCCCAGCCGCTCCGCGGCATGTGGGATCTTCCCGGACCGGGGCACGAACCCGTGTCCCCTGCATCGGCAGGCAGACTTCCAACCACTGCGCCACCAGGGAAGCCCCTTCCCATAATTTTTTATCATCACCATTTTGTTTTGATGTGGGGCAGTGATACTCTACCTGCAGCCCTTTCCCGAGTGGACTGGTGAGGGTGCTCCAAATCTCCTTGCTCTGAACAGATCAAAATTACATCTAAAACAACTCTAACAGGACTTCCCTGGTGGCTTAGTGGTTAAGAATCCGCCTGCCAGTGCAGGGGACACAGGTTCGAGCCCTGGTCCGGGAAGATCCCACATGCCGCAGAGCAACTGAGCCCGTGCGCCACAATAGCCCTTGTGCCTAGAGCCCATGCATGCTCCACAGCAAGAGAAACCACCACAATGAGATGCCCACGCACCGCAATGAGATGCCTGTGCACCACCACGAAGAATAGCCCCTGCTCGCCACAGCTAGAGAAAGCCCATGCGCAGCAATGAAGACACAATGCAGCCAAAAAATAAAAATAAAATAAATAAAATAAAGCGCCTCTAATGGGTGTTACTCTTTTTAGACTTAATTTCTTATTTTATATTGGAATATAGTTGATTTACAATGTTGTGTTAGTCTCAGGTGTACAGCAAAGTCATTCAGTTCTACATATACATCTAGCCATTCTTTTTCAGATTCTTTTCTCATATAGGTTATTACAGAATACTGAGTAGAGTTCCCTGTGCTACACAGTAGGTCCTTGTTGATTATCTGTTTTATATATGGTAGTGTCTATGTGTTCATCCCAAACTCCTATTAAGATATGTCATTTGGTAAAATGTCACGTCATAAGTCTCAGGTCAGAGGGAGAAGAAAGGTGGGCTGCTTCATGTATTTGCCTCCAGACTGGAGTTCAAGAGCAGTCTCCAGTTTTGCAGACTGTGACCCCTTTTCCAAAAGTGAAATTAATCATACTTTTAATTTTAAAACCCAGGAAAAAATAGCATGTATGCCTCCATTGCCCATTACAATGTACTGGCCTGGTCAGGGATTATGGACCCATTGGACAGATGTATACTTGGCTCCCAGTTTTTCTCTCCTTTCCTTCCCCCACGTTCATGCTCAGACTCTCTCCCTCCTCTGGAAACCATACTCTTGCCTCATCATGATTTGCAGCCCCTTCACTTTTTTCTCTGCCTAATTTGAACATTTCCATCCATGGGAGGATTGAGTCAATGAGGCGCAAAATACGGAGACTGTGAAATTCAATGTACCTCCACTTCGTGTTTTCTCCATGTTGACATATCACCATGTACTCGTGTGCACACCCCTTTTTAAAGAAGAGGCCCCTCTCCTCCCTTTCATAACCACCCTCTCTACTGGAACCTTAATAGTTTGCCACCCCTGCTTTTCTGTATCTTATACCACCTCTCCCTCTTAAATCTACAGTCTCTTCTCCACTCACCACTCCTCAGAAAAGAAGCCACATTTAATGATGTGTTTTCTGTACCCTAAAATTTTCTGAACTTTGGTCCTTCCATGCTTACCTGATTTCATTGAATTTTCTGGGGTTACCTAGCATTCAAGTTACCACAGATATTCTGTCCCACTTTTGCTTCATCTGTTCCCTTCTTGGTTTCTCATGTCATGGACTCTGTCTCCTGTTTTTCTGAAACTGACCCCAGAGTTGACCATTGACTGTCCTTTTTTTTCTTTTTTAACATCTTTATTGGAGTATAGTTGCTTTACAATGGTGTGTTAGTTTCTGCTTTATAACAAAGTGAATCAGTTATACATATACATATGTTCCCATATCTCTTCCGTCTTGCATCTCCCTCTCTCCCACCCTCCCTATCCCATCCCTCTAGGTGTTCTCAAAGCACCGAGCTGATCTCCCTGTGCTACACGGCTGCTTCCCACTAGCTATCTATTTTACGTTTGGTAGTGTATATATGTCCTTTGACTAAAGCCAGTAGTCTTCGCTCTACCTCATCAGGGTACAGTGGACGAGGCCTCTTTTTATTTTTTATTAAAAAAAATGTTAACATCTTTATTGGAGTATAATTGCTTTACAATGTTGTATTAGTTTCTGCTGTATAACAGAGTGAATCAGCTATACGTATACATATATCCCCATATCCCGTCCCTCTTGCGTCTCCCTCCCACCCTCTCTATCCCACCCCTCTAGGTGCTTTGGTACCAAGTTCATCTCCCTGTGCGATGCAGCTGCTTTCCACTAGCTATCTATTTTACATTTGAGACCTCTTTTTAAAATGTGTTATTTCTATCCTCCAACTTAACTTGGCTCCCATGATGCTGTGTTCACTTGATGCGCTATATCTGTTCTCTTGTCTCATCTTCGTGTGGTTACTTTTCTTGAACAAATTCTAAATAAACACTTCTCTTTAGCCCTTTTTTTCTCTCATGCTTTCCCTTGGTGAGTCTCAACCACACCCATGATTTTAAACATTCCAAAGATTATATGTTGTCTCTGAATTCTTTTCTTTCCTGAGCATCCAACCTGAATTTTCCACAGTCAGCTGCATTTCCTTAAATATTCTCTTGGCATCTTAAACCCAACATGCACAAAACCAAATGATCATATCCTCCTCTAAAACTTCTTCTGTTGATTATCATATTTTAAAAAATGGCATGACTGTCCTCAAAGTGACTCACATTCTTTATCTTCAGTCCATCTGTGCCTCTTTGCTTTCTGTTCCTCCCAATTTAACAGATTAGAACAATAACCATTTATTATATTTCACACTTTGGGGGTTAGGAAATTGGACAGCGCTCAACTAGTTGATTTCTTTGCTCTTGTGATACTAAAGTCACTCAGTGGGTTTCAGCTTTACTCATATATCAGGTGCCTTGGTGGGGCTGGCTGGGAAGCTGGGCTTAGTGAGAAACATCACCAGGAGGACGTATATGTGGTCTCCCTGGCATGACAGTTTCAGGGACATTGGGCTTCTGACCCAGTGTCTCAGTGCCCCAGAGGAGACAGGAAGTAGAAACTGCTAGCCTCTTAGGGTATGGGCTTGGAAACTAGGATACCATCACTTCTGTTGTATCTGACTGAGCAAAGCAGTCAGAGAGCCAACCCAGATTCAAGAGAGGGGGTGAAGATCCAGCCTTCAGTGGGAGGAAGGTCAAAGAAGCTGTGGACATCTTTAATTTTCTGTACTTTGCCTGACCCATCACACTGAGTGTTTGCTGGGTTTACCTTAATTTCTGTTCACATTGACCCCACCTGAAGTCACAGCTTCCTTTCTTTCTCTTCTGAACAATTGCTGTATCTTCAATTTAACTTCTTGACCTTTCTGCTCTTTAGCTGATTTCCTGTGTATGCTATGGTGAGAATGATTACTATTTCTTCTAATGTTAATACACTGTGGTAGCTTATTGCCTAAAAATAGAGACCTCAGACCTTAGTATCATTCATTCGCCTTCCAAATCTTAACCCAACATTCTCTCTAGGCTGCTTTCCATTTCTCCCCTTTCTGTCCCCTGGGGTCAAGTACAGTAAACTCTTCCCAACACATGTTGCCTACTCATTCCTCTTGGCCCTTCAGTGCATCATTTCATCCTCTTCTGGATTACTTCCAGAAGTCTCCATCTGTTGAAATCCTCTTTATCCTCCACGATTAAACTCAAATATGAAGTCTTCCTTTGACCCACCCTTGATCTCTCTAAGTAGCAGTTGTACTCTCTCTCCTAACCCCCATAGTGCTCCTGCTTCTTTTTATGATTTTCTAACAGCTTGGATTATAGTTATTTTTATAACCCTATCTTATTTTAAAGCTTATTAATCTTTTAAATTATTCGTGATCTTTAGAGTTTCCCAGCTCCCAGCACGGCAATTTCATTTCACCCAGTAGGTGCTCCATATAGGTTTTATTTGATGCACACTTGATCTCTAGCCAAAAACTTTTCAGGAAGGTCATCTGTAAATTTCAAAGGAGAAATGCACCCACTGTGGATGATTTTTAAGAGTTGGGTAGATAGTATTAATCAGGTTATTAGTCAAGGACAATGGTCATGGCCTTATTTAATAGGGGCTTTTGTATTTTGAAAAGGGAAGGGGAGGAATTCTTAGGGCATCCACACGTAGATCTGCATTTGCACGACCGGGCGAGAATGATGTTCCAAGGGATAACCAATCGATGGTCACAACTCTGAAACTGAATTCTTCATGGGGGTGGGGACGATGACTACTTGATAGAGCTTAAACTTGAACATTCTTCTTTTATAATCAATGGGTTATCTCATAAAATTATTGGGAGGAAAAGAGGTCTAGATTGAGACATATATTATTACTCACACATTTCTGAAATATCTCCTAGAAGAAGGTGTGTTTGTCCAAGCACTGCAAGGCTCTTTTTTTTTAAAGGGCGTGATGGGGCTTTACTAAAAGACCAGCCACCAGAAAACGTGAACCCATGTTAAGGCACTTGTTCTCTTTTGCGTGTTTTAGGCACTTTCCCCACATGACGGGACGACGAGCTTCTGGTTAAAGACAAGTGTCCAGATCCTAAGGTCTCCTGCCCACCATGAAGGGACCCTGCATCATTGCGTGGCTCTTCTCAAGCCTGGGATGGTGGAGACTCGCCCAGCCGGAGACAGACGCATCTCAGTGCCAGAGAGCAGAGCACCCGGTCATTTCCTATAAAGGTGAGGGTCGAGCACGCTCTGATTGCAAAGGCACCATTTAAATGCTCGTTGCATACTCAGAATAGCAGTGGTTATCACTCTATCATTCTGTGAGTCTTGTTTTAGACATTGTTTAAAATCAGAGCAAAAATACAAAATCCCCCATCACAAGAGTTTCATATCCTGAAACTGATCACTATATTAAGAAGAATCCTCAGCCATAAAAAGAAACGAAACTGAGTTATTTGTAATGAGGAGGATGGACCTAGAGTCTGTCATACAGAGTGAAGTAAGTCAGAAAGAGAAAAACACATACAGTATGCTAACACATATGTATGGAATCTAAAAATAAAATGGTTCTGAAAAACCTAGGGGCAGGACAGGAATAAAGACACAGACCTACTAGAGAATGGACTTGAGGATATGGGGAGGGGGAAGGGTAAGCTGTGACAAAGCGAGAGAGTGGCATGGACATATATACACTAACAAACATAAGGTAGATAGCTAGTGGGAAGCAGCCGCATAGCACATGGAGATCAGCTCGGTGCTTTGTGACCACCTAGAGGGGTGGGATAGGGAGGGTGGGAGGGAGACGCAAGAGGGAAGAGATATGGGAACATATGTATATGTATAACTGATCAACTTTGTTATAAAGCAGAAACTAACACACCATTGTAAAGCAATTATACTCCAATAAAGATGTAAAAAAAAAAAAAAGAAGAATCCAAGCTCAGAATTATCATAGGCAGAAAATCCCATTGTTGAGGCCACTTTTACTTAACAGGTGCTGTCAGCCTCCTAGGCAGGAGAAAAATGTGACCCACAGAAATAACAACAAAACCAAGCAAAACAAAAAAATTCTTCATTTCAGCATTTCCCAACAAAGCCTTAGTCCCACCACACAATGTACGCCTTTATCTCTATCTGGCATTGCGTGGCAGACAGAATTGGTTTACTGTCTCAAATATGCCTACATATCTGTAGGATCAATTGATTAGTGTGTATACACATTCTTTTCTTCTTTAATTCTTCAAGATTTATTTAGGGTTCTTTACACCCTGGACATTTCTAAGCATTTAAGGTGATGAGAAAACTAGTCTTTGTCTCTGTCCTCAAGGAACTTGCTCTTATATCATGAAACTGAGTATAATTAATCAGACATTGTGTTTTAATAATTCATCCAATGAATAGTTTTGTGGTCTGTTATTTTGTAACTTTTGTATCACAAAAAGATTTGAAATATATACAAAAATAGAAGAGTCTAAGGAACACCCAGCCCCTGTATTTATTAATCCCTGGCCCACCTTTTTTCTTGTATATCCCCACCCGTGCTCTATTCACATTCACCAAATTATTTTGAAGCAAATTCAAGAAATAATATAATAGTGCCATAATATTTCACTTCTTGGCTATCAAAGATAAGGAATTCATAATGCCGTAATCACACCAAAACATCAGAAACCCAGACAAAAACCAATGCCATAAAATTAGCAAACATCCAGTGAGTACTGTGAGAGCCCTGATGGTCACAGGAATGCTTGTGCCTTGTTCTGGTAACAGTTGAACTGAGTCAGGAATGGAAGGACCTTCATCTATTGCAGTTGGCTTGTGTATGTCTTGAGTCTCTTCATCCTTCATTGTGCTTTGTTGTTGTTGCTCTCCCCTTGCAAATTAATTTTTAAAGAAACTTGAGTCCATCATCCTGCAGAGTTTCCACAGTCAGGGTTTGCCCAGCTTCCCATTGCTGTCATTCGGACGCTCTTCTGTCCTGAATGTGTCTGTAAATTAGTAGCGATATCCAGAGGCTGCCCAGATTCAGGTGTGCATCTTTGTGTCTCTGCTGTGTCATGGGTGGTGCTGTGTCCTTCAACGGGATGTGAAATGATCAGTCATCGAGGATCACGGCCTAAATCTCCTGATTCATTCATGGGTGAAAAACTGGGAGTTTTTAATTTTACTATTCTTTTTTCATTTAATGGCTGAAATATTTCTACATAAAGTAACTTTTCCTCCTCAACTATTTGAATATCCTGAGGGTGCAACTGACATAGGAAAGGCAGAGTGAATGCTTACTTTTCTTCCCTTTACCATTTTTGTAAAGAGCCTACTTAGTTGGCTCTCCAGCATTATCCAGAGGGGACAAATAAAATGTTATGTTTGCTTTTTTTTTAAAAAAAAGTGGTTATTAGAATTATTTTTAATACATGGATTTCAATATTTGGTATATTTCCATCCCTTGCAGCTTATGTTCTTACAGATGTTGAAATTGTCACATTTCAGGCCTAGGGGAGCCTCTTGAGGTTGGCCCCTGAGTTCTTTGGCAACAACCCAAGTGGCCTTGGATGTCTTGATTATTCTCTAGGGTAATAAGACTCCTCTTATCCATTTCCTTCCATCGACCTGAGAATCAGCCATTTTTATCTGATTCAAGCATAGTGGTGATCAAAGTCAGGTGTTTTCAGTGTATAGAGCTAAGGAAAACGTTCTTTAAAACATACCAGAAGTTGCTCTGGATACTTCCAGTTCATCTCCAGGACTCTAGGGACTTTCTGATCCTCTTCTATTTTATGTCTCTATCTTTCTCTCCTGTGCACAGAATCCTGTCTCTGCAGGTCAGCATAATTATTCCTTTGCCTTTTCCTGTAATTCATACTTAGTCATTTCAGAATAAAAGTTCTGTGCAACTTTAGTCCTTATTGAATACAGAAAACCCTTTCGGATGATTTTTCTTCTTTTCTTTTAGTCCTCAGGGTATAAATCTCACTGGAAAATGGAAGCAAAATTAACACCTTGAAATCGAAACAATTTCCCTTTGTATGGTAGTGCCACCAACTCAAAATCCAGTTAATTTCATTTGTTTAATTTCACTTTTGATTTTTCGAGATTTTCAAAATTTACATTACATTATTCTGTAGTGTTTTAAAGTCAAATTAATAAAACAAGTGGTGTTCAGAGAAACTGTTTTCCTTACCTTGTTCACTCTCTCTGCCTTTAGCTCACCTTTTACTTATAGTTTATGCTTCTTTTTAAATATAAACCAAACTCCACACACACATACACATGCACATATATATTTATACCCTCTTTTCTTAAAAAGTAGCATGTATACAGAGTTTTCTCTATCTAGCATTTTTTGACATCATGATATGCCCTGGAGTCCACGTCCCAGTAGTATGGGTTTATGTCACTTCTTCTCACGGTCACATAGCTCTGCTCTATGTAATGAACTCTAGCCTACTCAGCAACTCGCTGCTGGGAGAAGTGATCATGTATAGTGTTACAATGTGTGATGACTCCTGCACACACATATTTTGATATTTTTGCAAGTGTAACATTGACAGAGATTCCTGGAATCGGGATTGCTGGGTCAAGGGGTGAATGCAGTTGTAGTTTTGCTAGATACTCCCTGATTTCCTTTCATGAAGGTTGCACCATTTTGCATTCTCATTGCCCTGGATAGGAGTATCTGTTTCGCACTAGACTTTCCAACTGAGTGCACTGTTAAACTTTGGGATTTGGGAAAACCCCATAGCTCATAAATGGCATCTCAACATACTTTTAATTTTCATTTTTAAAATTTGGAGTGAACGTTCAACAGGCATTTAATAACTGCCTATATATGTACCGGGGGTCTGTGCTAAATATGGAGGAGATAGAGGTAAAAAACCTAGTTCCTGTTAAGGGTCTAGAATATCTTGAGGAATCTAAACCAGAAGGACCGTTGCATTACATTGTATTAAGGGTCCTCTCGGGTGTCTTTGCTGGGTGCTGGGTGAGCCCGGGGAAGGGGTGTCGGAACCAGACAGCCTGGGCTGTAGAGGAACGGTTAAGGAGGGTTTCTAGGATGCAGCAGTGCCAGAGCTGAGTCCCAGATGATTGTTAGAAGGTGTTTATGAATCTCACGAGGGGCGCACGGCAGGTTTTGGCAAGTGTCGAGCACAGTAAGCCATGAAATGTCAGTTCAGATTACAGAGAGGAAGTAGAGGGAGATGAAACTTACAGTGAGGATTCAATAATGCACGGCATCAAAAGGCATCTCAAGAAGTCCCCCTCTTGTCTGCACAGGCTCACCTTGGAGGATGGAGAAATGCTGGCAGGAAGAGCAAATTCTGGGGCCGCTGCTGTGACCAAAGGGGGCAGCGATGAGGGCCTGAGCTACGGGAGTGGTAGCAGAAATGTAAAGAATTGGGTGGATTCTGGAGATTTGAAGAGGGAGTTGTTGATGTTTTAAAGGATATAAGACAGGAGGAAGCAGGAGGCACTGAGAGTGAGCCCTGAGTTCTTGGCTGTTGGTTCCAGACAGGATAAAGAAGGGGAATCTGAAATGATGTTAGATCGAGAAAGCTGAGTTCCTAGCTGCCATCAGATGGAGTTAACTAATTGAGAGCAGGTATCATGGGAACCAAGAAAGGAGAGCTTTTTCAAGAGGGAGGTGGCCGTCAGAGTGTCTGATGATGCAGCCAGTTCAAGGCACCTGTGGGCCAGAAGGTAGAGTGACAAACTCATCCTGATTTGCCCGAGACTTTTTTGGGATGTAGCACTGAAAGCCCTACTGTCTTCTGGGAAAACTGGGACAGGTGGTTACCTTCCCAGAAACTCTGTCAGCAATGGTGTATTAGTTTCCCAGCATTCCTGTAACCACATACTACAAACTGGGTGGTTTAAAACAATCACAACATCTTCTCTCACAGTTCTGATGGCTAGAAGTCCAAAAGCAAGGTGTCACCAGGGCCATGCTCTGAAAGCTCTAGGGAAGAGTCTTTGCCACTTCTTAGCTTCGGGTGGCTGTCAGCAGTCCTTGGCGTTCTTTGGCTTGTGGACCCATCACTCCGGTTCTCTGAGTCTGTAGTCACATGGCATTCTCTCTGTGCGTCTGTGTCTGTTTTCTCTTCTTTTTATTTATTTATTTTTATTTATTATTATTTTTTTTGGCAGTACACGGGCCTCTCACTGTTGTGGCCTCTCCCGTTGCGGAGCACAGGCTCCGGACGCGCAGGCTCAGCGGCCATGGCTCACGGGCC